AAAAAAAAAAAAAAAAGTAAAGATTAATAAAAGAAAATAAAATTTAAAAAAAAGAAGATGATACCACAGAGCATTAACAAGGCTTTCACTGTTTTGGTTACCTTGTGGAACTTTTGGAGGATGTTAGAGTGGCATGCCATGTTCTCATTCTCTTTCCCTCAGGGGACTATATTTCACATCAGGTGCAAACCTGGATTAAGCACTATCGAGCCTCAGAAACCAGCAGCATCCCGGCGATGGAGAGGCTCATCCAATGGCTGCCGCACCATCTTCCCAGGCAACAGAAGACCACACTGGTGCATGGGGACTTCAGGTAGGCATGGCTGTGAGGAGGAGTGAATACCTAGACGTGGAAAATGATGGGCAGGGCCCTTGAAGTGGAAATCAAACAGCTAGTCCGAACCCAATTTACAGTTGAGAATTACTTCTTCACAGAGGATCTCCTTGTGCGTGCCCTTTTAAGGCATGGTTTCTCCACCTCGGCCTCTTGACATTTGGGGCCAGAAAATTCGTTATGATGGGGGGTTGTCCTGTGCAACAGTGGGAGTTATTACAGCTCCTAGGTTTGAAAGTGCAAGTGTGTGCTCCAGTTATTACGAGTGCATAAAAGATTCCTCCCAGACCGCATGGCTGTAAACAAAGATGGCAGTTACTTTGCTCACGAAATCTGCTGTCTGGGGACAGGATAGCTGGTTTCAACTGGGGAGGCTGTCAGGCTGGGGGCTGGACTCTCCTGAAGGCTCACTCACATGCCTGGCACTGGGGCACAGAAGACTGAGCTGGGCTCCCTGGGCCTCTCTTTGGTCTCCCACGTGGTCCCTCCAGCATAGCAGCTTCTGGGCAGCTGGACTCCTTACCTAAGTGGCTCAGGGCTGCAAACGTGTGTGTTCCAAGAGAGAGGGCTGACTGGGAGGGAGCTGGTCACCTTTTCTGAGCTGGGCTCTAGAGTCTCTTAGCATCACTTCCACCTGCATTATATTTGTCAGAAGCCAGTTGCCTCAAGCAGCAAAGAATTAGACTCTTCCTTTTGTGTAAGAAGTGTCAGAATGTACAGACCTGTTTTAAATCCATCAGAGGGAAGGAGGAAGTACGAGAACCCAGAGAGGTCACTCTGTGGAGAGGGCTCCTGGACCACAGCTCGTATGGCCCTTGGGAGAGGAATATAGCGTCCCTCACCTATCTGCCTCCTTCTCGTCTCCTGCTGATGTCCTCATTGGCTGAGCCCACCTGAGCCATAGGGCAAGGGAGCCAGTGGACGTGGGCACTGAGGGGTTCATAGGGTGGGGAGTGCATTTGCAGGGGCAAATGGAAGACACCCAGCACAGAACACACCCCTAGCACTCAGTTTCCTTAGAGCTGTCTTTCCATTCCTTTTGTGGCTTATTCAGGCTGGACAACCTGCTGTTCCATCCAGAAAAGGCCGAGGTGCTTGCCGTCCTTGACTGGGAACTCTCTACCTTAGGCGACCCCCTTGTGGACGTGGCCTCCAGCTGCCTGGCTCACTACTTGCCATCCAGTTTTCCCGGGTCCCTGCTGCGAGGTAGGAACAGCTGAAGGAGAAGAGGGAACAGGGCAGCTCCATTCTCAAAGCACCTGAGGCACAGAAGTAACCGTGATCGGTTGGTGCATGAAATTGAGGTCCTGGTGGTTTGGCTGGAAAATGCATTCCTGCCAGTGGAGGGAAATATGTGTAGATGTATTTTAAGCGAGAAGGATGTGTGCATAGGCCCCTCCTATGTTTTTACTCAACTAATTTCTATCTAATTTTCTAAATAAAAAATACAAATTTATTTTAAAATGTTAGAGCCAACACAATAGCCAAAGTATGGAAAGAGCCCAAATGTCCATCGATGGAGGAATGGATAAAGAAGATGTGGTATATCTATACAATGGAGTATTACTCGGCAATCAAAAAGAATGAAATGTTGCATTTGCAACTATGTGGATAGAACTGGAGGCTATTATGCTAAGTGAAATTAGTCAGTCAGAGAAAGACAAAAATCATATGACTTCACTCATATGAGGACTTTAAGAGACAAAACAGATGAACATAAGGGAAGGGAAACAAAAATCATATAAAAACAGGGAGGGGGACAAAACAGAAGAGACTCTTAAATATAGAGAACAAACCGAGGGTTACTGGAGGGGCTGTGGGAGGGGGGATGGGCTAAATGGGGAAGGGGCACTAAGGAATCTACTCCTGAAATCATTGTTGCACTATATACTAACTAATTTGGATGTCAATTTAAAAAAATAAAAAATTAAAATAAAATGTTAGAGCCAACAAATAACAAAAGGAAAAGTTAAAATCATCAATAGTCCCAGAGATGAGCACTGCCAGCATTTTCATCTTTTGGTGTGTGTACATACATTTGTTTAAATGAAAATGTAATTCTAAGATTTTATGGCCTGTTTTTTTTTTTTTAATTAATTACATGTTTTTATGCCATTAAGTATTTCTTCTACAGAATCATTTTTTAAATTTTTTTTTCAACGTTTATTTATTTTTGGGACAGAGAGAGACAGAGCATGAACGGGCGAGGGGCAGAGAGAGAGGGAGACACAGAATCGGAAACAGGCTCCAGGCTCTGAGCCATCAGCCCAGAGCCCGACGCGGGGCTCGAACTCACGGACCGCGAGATCGTGACCTGGCTGAAGTCGGACGCTTAACCGACTGCACCACCCAGGCGCCCCTACAGAATCATTTTTAATGATGAAATAGGATTTTTTTGAATAGAATTAATTTAATCAAGACATTTGACAAATGTCTTAAGACAAATATCTCAGTATCTCATTTGGATATTTAATTTTGTTTTCAATTTTTCTTTTATACTACCTCCCCCCAACCCTCACAAAAAAAGGCAGTGAACATCTTTGTAGGAGTATCTTTGCCTATATTATAAGGTATACTCCGAACAAAGTCACAGGAACAAAATATATTACATGCTTCTAAGCCATGAAAATGTTACCAGTGAAGGAAATCAGTACACATTTCTGATTTGTTGTAATTATTTTTTTTTAAATTTGGCAGGATCTTTCTTTCAATACCATTTTTTATCAAATGGCAGATGGAAAATCATACGCATCCACCCTGAACTGTGGCCCAGGTGGAAGTGGAGGCCCCTCATTCCCTCCACTACTGCCAATTTAGTCTGAAACTTTTAAGGGCCAATTTGTGAATAGCTTCGTGCCAGGATCCCAGCCATGTGGGGGCGGAAGAGCTGTTGAAATAAGGAGCTGACCCTGTGAATTAGTTGTAAAACTCGTTTCCAAGGCAGGAAGTGATTTTCATAATTCAGATACCTGCGGCCACAAGGGAGTGTGTGGTCACTGCCCAGACATGGCTCTGTCTGTCGCCTCAGGTTTCAGTGACTGTGATTTCACTCAGCTGGGAATCCCTACTGCAGAGGAGTATTTCAGGATGTACTGTCTTCACTCGGGGATCCCTCCTACTGAGAACTGGAACTTCTACATGGCCTTCTGCTTTTTCCGCATGGCCGCGATCCTGCAGGGAGTCTACAAGCACTCGCTCACAGGTAACGGGTGGCTCAGGAGAGCCTGCCTGAGGGTCTGAGTCCCAACCACTCAGCTTCTCCCCCTAGAAACCCTCCTGTGACCAATTTGGCCAGAATTCTACAATATTCAGTTAACTCAACCATCTGTCATTAATAGCATATACATATATATGTATTCTTAAATTTTTTTTAACGTTTATTTTTGAGAGAGACAGACAGAGTGCAAGCAGGGGAGGGGCAGAGAGAGAGAGAGGGAGACAGAATCCGAAGCAGGCTGCAGGCTCTGAGCTGTCAGCACAGAGCTGGACATGGCGCTCGAGCTCACGGACCACAATATCATGACCAGAGCTGAAGTTGAATGCTTAACCGACCGAGCCACCCAGGCTCCCCTATATGTATTCTTTAAAATATTTAAACTTAAAAAAATTTTTTTAATGTTTATTTTGAGAGAGAGTGTGCACATGTGCAGGCGCGAGGGGCAGAGGGGGAGAGAGAGAAAGAGAGACAGAGAGACAGAGACAGAAAATCCCAAGCAGGCTCCACACTGCCAGCACACAGCCCAATGTGGGGCTCCAACTCACGAACCGTGAGGCCATGACCTGAGCCAAAATCAAGAATCGGACGCTTAACCAACTGAGCCACACCCAGGTGCCCCAAACTTTAAAAAATTATTAACATAACATACAATTTTTTAAGAAAAAACTTACATGATAAGAATTCAGTCATAATACAAAATTATTTTCCTTTTTTCTCAGTACCGTTTCTTAAACATAAACGCCACCCTTAAAAGTTTCATGGGTCCCCCAATTTGTTCTGTGTATCTATCTTCTCTCTTTCTCCAAGTTTCATAAAAATGTGATCATCCTACATGTATTTTTAGTACCTTCATTTTTAATTTTTTATGCTTAAGAATTCCTATGAAATATTTATATGTGTGTATATGTAGGATATGATATGTGTGTATATATAGCATATATACATATATATATAATTATTATAGATATATACTTTACAACAACATAAGGTACATTCCTTGCTTTTATTTTCACTTATTTTAATTTTCACAATATTTCATAGAGATCTTCCCATATGAATATGTACAGATATACATCATTGTTTTTGATTTCTATAGTATGTCCCATTGTATGGATATAGTGTAATTTATTTAACCCATTCTCTTATCAATATATCTTTGGATTATTTGCACATTTTAGCAAACACAGATAGTGGTTGGTGAACACCCTCTTCTGCACATGCGTGAATAAACCCAAAGGATAAATTCCCAGAATTAGAATTGCTAAGTTAAAGTATGTGCATTTTAATTTTTTGTACATGTTGCCAAATCCCAGTAAGAGGATTGCTGAAGGAAGAAAAAAGATTATGTGTCTTCTTTGATGGTGCTCTTACATACATTGGAAAATGCTTTACTGAACTAGCTTGGAGTTCTAGATTATATCTTGTGTGTCTGAGCTTCTGGGAAGAAAAGTTCATCATTGCTACTCAGAACTGACGGTTGAATTGAATGTGTATATAAATGTACCATCTATCTATCTATCTATCTATCTATCTATCTATCTATCTATCTATCTATGTAAACACTCTAGTATTAATTTTAGATCTTGCGGGATAGTAAATGAAATCATCTATATCCTAAATTATTTAAGATGATAGAAAAGCAGGTTATAGTTTGTTTCCTATGTAGAAAGGAACAGCAGAAAGCAGACAGAACCCGCCAAAAAGTCCTAGAAATAGTGACTAACCCAGTAGCATTCTGTACTCCCAGTTTTCGCCATGTCATCATCTCTAAATTCCATTCCCACCGGAAGGAGCTAGGACCGTGTTCAGGTCTAGGGCAGGCAATCTACAGATGAACCTGGAACACCTTGTCATATAGTAGGCTGTTGAAGACTACTCGGGTCATATCTAAAGGACTCAGGAGCCAGCTCTCATGGGCTCCTAGTTGCTAATGACAGGACACTTTGAGCACCAGTAAGGATGAACTGAAATGGATGGGGAACACATCAAGTATGTTTAAATCCATGAGTAAAGAGTGACACTAAACCAGAGTCAAAGTCTCACTCACAAATTATGTGTCAGGCTAACAAAATAACTGAGGGAAAGTTTCTCTCTAGGGAAGTAGCTCAGACAGAATGACAGAATTAGCGTATCACCAGTCTTCCACCCCTCTACATTAATGGGTCCAGAAAATAAGTATCCGTGGTGCTAATGTCAGCAAGAGAGAAACAGCCAGACATTACATACCTCCTGATGCTTCCCCAAAAGTCAGACCTGGATCTGACCGAGCCGTAGTGCTAACTACCAGCTTACAGGAAACAGAGGGTCAGAGGAGCACGTTCAACATCAGCACTGAGGCACAGCCACTCACAACATCCAGATTTGGGGACACTTCAGTTTCTTCAACAAATGAATGTCAGGGGGGAAAAGAAAAGATGAAAAGGGAACCTATAGATTGAAAGGGACTTAAAAGACACATCAGCCAGTTACAGTGTTTGGATCTTATTTAGATCCCTATTTGAAAAAACAAATTATAAAAAAAATTTATGCGATAGTCAGTGAAATTTGAATTCTGACTGGATAGTTAGTGATATTGGAGTCATAGTTATTTTATTTTTATTTTTTTATTTGAGAGAAGAGAACACACATCAGTGGGGGGAGAGGAGCAGAGGTGGAGAGAGAATCTTTTTTTTTAAGTGTGTTTTTTTTTTTCATGTTTATTTATTATTAAGAGAGAGACAGAGCATGAGCAGTGGAGGGGCAGAGAGAGGGGGAGACACAGAATCCGAAGCAGGGTCCAGGCTCTGAGCTGTCAGCACAGAGCCCAACACGGGGCTCTAACTCACAAACTGTGAGATCATGACCCGCGCCAAAGTTGGTTGCCTAACCACTTTGCCTAACCACACCCAGGCGCCCTAAGTGAGTTTATTTTTGAGAGAGAGTGTACACGTGTGCACATGCGTGTGGGGGAGGAGTGAGGGAGAGAGAGAGAGAGAGAGACAATCCCAAGCAGACTCCACACTCAGCAAGAGCTTGATACAGGGCTCGATCCCATGACCCTGGGATCATGACCTGAGCTCAAATCAAGAGTTGGACATTCAACCGGCTGAGCGTCCCAGTTAACTGTTTTTTAAGAGTGATGATGGTACTGTGGGCTTTTAAGTGCTATTAGACATAAATGAAATATTTACAGATGGCATGATCTAATGTTTGGGATTTACTTCAGAAAAATCTAAGGCAGTGAGGATGGGGACGACAGAGAATGAAACAAGATTGGCCATACTTTGATGATTGTTTAAGCTGAGTGGTAGACACTTCCAGATTCCTTAAACCCTTCACTCTATTTTTATATATCTTTGAAAGTTTCCAAAATTAAGACAAAAGTCAAGTAGAGAGAAACCCAGCAGTGGGTTTGCTAGTACAACGGGAACATCTTAGCTTCCAGGTCATCAACATCCTAAGCTTGGCGGCCACCTGTCGTCCTCAGCCAGGTTCCCGTATTCTAATGAGAAAGGCAGTTGGAGGAGGGGAATTGATCGTTCATTCACAAGGATCTGAACCTCTGCCAAGCCAGGTACTAGGAACTAGCAGTACAAAGTCGTGAGCAAAACAATGTTCAGAGAAAAATCGGCACCCAGATGACTTCCAGTTTCACCCGCCCTGATCTGACGATAGGGGTCTCAATAAGCAGGAATTCTCGAAAACCATATTTTTGCTTCCTCCAGAGAGCATTAGTTCTAACCAACCATTTCCCAATTTTTGTTAGGGCTTCGCAATGAAAGCTAACCAGAAATAATTAATCAAGCAGAAGGGCTGTTGGTTCCATCAGGTGACGAACAGGCCTGACTGCCTGTAGACGTTTTCTAGACGACTACTGTGTTCTCACTGGATCCTGTTCCAGTGCCTGGGGATAAGCTGAGTGGACTCGGAATGATCTCTTCTGGAGTCTCGACACCTGTAAACCCCATTGGTATTGCCGCCAATGGGCCTAACAGGAAGCCATTTGACAGTTTCCAAGGTCCTGTGTGCCACTGGCTTGGCTTCACGCTTCCCTCGGCTCGGAGGTGAAACACTCCAGCACACAGGAATACACATGTGCTGTCCTTACACGACCGCGTTCCTCCGATCCTGTTGGCGCTCCTTCCCCTCCCACCCGGGAAGCCAGCCAGACACACAGAGGAAGTGACGTAGTTTTTCTCACATAAAACCGGGAATCCGTTTTTTGAAGAATAGTGTAATAATGTTACACGAGGGGAAGAAGAAACCCAGCTCCACGAATGCAAATATTATTTCTGTCTAAAAGCATTTTCCTGTTTGAAGAAGGGAGGAACTTGGTATTGCCCTGGAAGGTGGGGTTTGGAGAAGGAGCATTTGTTTCAAAGGCATTCTCGGTGGTGTTAGCTCATCACTGGGTGGGGAAGGGGAGAACCATGCCCAGAGCTGGGGGCGGGGGCCTCTGATTTATAGTCGGCATGTGGGTGCTGACATTTAGGTTTCCGGTAGACGGCTGCTGAAATTCTAGAACGGAAGAAGTGCTCGTGACCACAGCTTAGGAGGCTGCAGTCTCCTCTGCTGAGACGACATGTGGGAAAAGACACAGAAGTAATGATAGCTTTAAGTCAGCCCAGGCTCTTATCGGCGACTTTCCAAGAGACAGAGCAGCACTCTGAGAGAGAGATCGACTTAAGGAGAGGAAAATGAAGAGAGCGCTTCGTATTCTCTGCTAGGAAAAGGAAGTCATTATGAAGAGCAGTGAGTTCAAGGGGGTTCTTGCTTGCACGTGGCATGTGCAGTCAGAGTAACGGGCTGGGGAGATGCAGCCACTCATGAGAGAGTGCGCATCTGCCCTCACTGCCCTCACAGTGACTCAGGGAAGGGGGCTGTCTGGTTCCCGACTGCCCCCCTCTCCGCCCCCCCCCCCCAGGGCCTGGGTCCATGACCGCCCCCGGAAGGTGCTGAGTAAAGACTTGTCTGGCGGCCTGCCTTCTCTGCTATGTAGCACATGGATTTTGGCTCCTGATCTGTAAGAATAGCATAATATCTTTAACACCAAAGCTTCGTGAAAATGGCTCTTTGGGGAAATTGGCTGTGGCAGGGACCAGAAGAAAAATAGGCCTCTGCAAAGATCTATTTATCGATACAAAGAGAATGAGGAAAACACAGTCTTTTTAGAATATGGAAATGCTAAAAATAATCTAGGAGGGTTGGCTGTGAAGAAGCTCACTATAAGGAGACAATATACACGCTTCATGCGGGGATCTCGGATGCAGTTCACTGAATGCAAGAAGCCACAGTGAAAAGACTGCACACCCTATGATGTGTATATTTACGTGACATTCCGGAAAAAGCCAACTAGGGAAACAGAGATTTAAAAGGGGGTGGGGCGCCTGGGTGGCTCAGTCGGTTAAGCGTCTGTCTCTTGATTTTGGCTCAGGTCATGATCCCAGGGTCATGAGATCGAGCCCCTTGTCAGGCTCTGCACTGCACGTGGAGCCTACTTAAGATTCTCTCTCCTTCTTTCTCTGCCTCTCTCTCTCTCTCTCTCTCTCTCTCTCTCTCTAAAAGAAACAGAGATCACTGTTGCCAGGGGCTGGGGCAAAGGGTTGTGTACAAAGGGACACCATGGAAATTTGGGGATGATGGACATATTTTGTATCTTGATGGCAGTGCTGGTTACCTGACTAAACTCACAGAACTATACACTTTTATAAAGAGGGTGTATATACACCGTACTTCAATTTAAAAAAATTTTTACTTTTTAAAAGTCTTGATGCACGTATTAAAAGAAAAAAAAAAAAGCAAGCAGTGAGCGCATAAGTGGAGTGAGTTCTGCAGGGCTGACACTGGCCTTCATCTGTCATCTGCACAGAGTGGTGTCCAGAGATCTGTCGTTAACCTGGTCCCTGGGGACGGTTGTTACTGGTTTTGCAGCAAGAGCAGTCGGTCTAAGATAATGCAGGGCTTTCGATAGCCCCCTGGCGACAGCACAAGTGACTGGGGGTGTCCCTGGCTTCATTTAGTGCCTTGACGGAAAGAAGAGGTAAAGAGCAGGGAGCGGTCCAGATGAGCCTGACTCCTGGCTCCAAGCCCACTGCTGTCAGCTTGTCTACGCTTCCTAAGACCCAGATTCTTTCTGTAACGTGGGGATTAAAAGCATCATAATGCTTCGGGAATTCGATGAGCTATAATAATCCACGCAGAGCGCTTAGCACTGTGTTTGGTATATGGCCAAGTGCTCAGCAAATGGTAGTGGCTGCTGACGGCATTCTTATTAAGGGTTGTTTGGGAGTAATCACTGTTTTTCTTTGCTTCTGCTTAGGGCAAGCAAGCTTTGTGGACACCGAACAAAGTGGAAAACTGCCTGAATTTATGTCTAACCTGGCATGGGATTTTGCCATCAAAGAAGGGTTCCGGGTTTTCAAAGAGATGCCAGCCACGAAACCGTCAATGAGGTCCTATCACACTCAGGCTGGTCACAGTCCCTGCCGAGCACCTCAGGCGTGAGCAGTTATATCCCCTTTACAGAATCTTCCCTGGCTCATGCCTCAAAGGGAACTCTGGTTCTCTCTCCAGAGGGCCTTTCCCCACCAGTCAGGGAGCTGTATCAGTGACTAAAGCCATGACATGTGTACCCCGCTGAGTCAGAGCTTATGGAGTCACCAAGCCTCAGCAGAGGGATGGACCGCTTCCCTGCTGATTGAATATCTCAATGGAAAGCAGCGTATGGAGAGTTGGTAAGATGTCATTAACATGGTGGAACCCCAGCTCATTGACCAGACACGTCTGTTCCCCTCCTTAGCAGTGAAGAGACAAGAGGGCTGTAAAGAATTATCTTTGTTTTTCATCATCATCAGGAAAAGCTAGCTCTAGATTACTTGGTTTCCACTTCATTGCTTTCTCTGTGTGACCGTGTCATGGCCAGATACCTCAGCCCAGGCACAGGAACACCAGGTCTGTGGTTCATGCCCCCAGGACAGGCGGGCTTATTTTGTGCATATGTGAATTATGTAAATTTGAAACACGGTGATATAAAATACATCAGTTAATAAAGCCTCTTATTTTTAAAAGGTTTAATTACTTATTTTCAGAGAGAGAGAGAGAGAGAGAGAGAGAGAGAGAGAAACCTTGCACATACAGGGGAGGGCAAAGAGAGGGAGAGAGAATCACAAGAGTCTCCATGCTCTCAGTGCAGAGCCTGACGTGGGGCTCAATCCCATGAATCGTGAGATCATGACCTGAGCTGAAACCAAGAGTCAGATGCTTAACTGCCTGAGTCACCCAGGTGCCCCAATAAAGTCTCTTTAAAGAACCCATAATGTCAAAAGTAAAGGGCTAAAGTCAACTGTAAACTGTTTCAGCCATTGAACAGAGTGACACTACTTTAGCTGATAATGGAAATACCTGCTTGTTCTTTGTCAGGGTGAGTCTTGGCTTGTGTTAGTTTTTAAGTTATTTGAGATCTTTAGGAGCACACATTTTGCAGCCATCATCTTTTTTTTCTTTTAATTTGTTTTTAACGTTTATTTTTGGAGAGAGAGACAGAGACAGAGTACATTTCCTTTTCCAATGCTTCCGTGCCCTTGATGGAGAGAGAGAGACGGAGAGAGAGAGACGTGCCCTTTTGAGAGAGAGAGACAGAGACAGAGCATGAGCCAGGGAGGGACAGAGAGAGGGAGACACAGAGTCCGAAGTAGGTTCCAGGCTCTGAGATGTCAGCACAGAGCCCAAAAAGGGGCTCAACCATGAGATCATGACCTGAAGTCGGACAATTAACCGACTGAGCCAGCCAGGCGCCCCAACCATCATCTACTTTTTAAGAAAATGGCATTATCACTTTTTTTCTGGTTACAAACCTATTGCAAAACCACCAAAGCTCAAACATGACGAGAGTAAGAAGAGTTCATAACATAGAAAGAGCTCTCTAAAATCCCTTGCCCTCTGAGATCATTGCTGTCAACAGCTCGGCGTATTAGGCTCCCAGCTGCTTTTCTCTATTACATACCAACATAGCATTCCTATGTTGTAATGGGATTGTTGTATACATTTGAATCTCCCACTTGCTTATTTAATTTAATGACATGTCAGTGCCTGGAGATGGACCTTCTAGGGTTTCTGCAGTGTGGGTGTACGTAACTTGTCTGCCCTCCCCCTGGCTGAGGGATCCCATTGGTGTCTCAGTAGGCTAGGTCACTGGATCACTTAAGCAGGGAAGGACATTAGCTAGCTGCTGACATGGATAAGGAGGCTGAAGACCCAGCTTTAGAAGCCAAGGGAAGGCAGGCTGCAGGGGGTGTAGCCAAGGCTGTCATAAAAGCAGCCAGCTGGCTGGGAGATCTCAGGAAGCTTCCTCAGGACCCCGACTCAAAACTTTGAGATGGAAAATTTCAGCTGGCCGGGGAGCAGGGGAGTAGGTCTCATGGCCTCGCCTTTATTGCCTGGAAGCAGGGAGAAGGAGGGCATGTCTGGCCCCCTTTACCTTCTGCAGTAGGAGGCTATCCCTTGATCCCACTAAAATTTATGTAACGAAGGAGTCCTCCAGAATAAGAAGCGGGTTTGGATCCTTTGCAAGCAAGGTGCATTGAATGCTCTCACATACTTCTGTGTACATTTGTTTCTACAACAGGATAAATTCTTTGAAGTAAAAATACTGTCCAAGAATGAGACTATTTAGTGTTTTAATAAACATTGCCAAGGGTTTTTTTTTTCAGATTTAAAAATTTTTAAGTAATCTCTACATCCAACATGGGGCCCAAACTCACCCCGAGATCAAGAGTCACACGCTCCACGACTGAGCTCTCCAGGCACCCCAAATATTGCCAACTTTTGATCACGAAGGTGCTTACTGCTCTAGGCTCCCATCATTAACGTGTGAATTGCCTCTCCCCTCCATGGCTGGCCAGAACATTTCAGGCTCTCACATGTGATGTAAGCCCATCAAGGGCATGGAAGCATTGGAAAAGGAAATGCGCACACAGCAAACACCTCCAGACTCTAAAAGGAATGCTGAGGAAAAACCGAGATTAGGGATCATTTTACTTCCAGTTATACCTGAATGGGAACATCGTGGAGATTGTGGGCAAAGCAGTGAAACTGTAGCTCAAGGCTTTTATCCCAAGTGTGGTTACTCCCGTAAATGGGAAGACATACGTAGCCATTTACGGTGTATTTCACAAATCCTGTGAGGTAAGCATTGTTGACCTCGATTTACAAGTAAGGAAATGGATGTGTCCAGGAACACAGCTAGGAATAACAGCGCCTGGATTCATGTCCAGATCTGCTGGGCTCAAATTCTGTGGGTCCCCCCACACAAACACAGGGAGATGATTAGATCCATTTCCTTATTCTGCCTCTTCAGAACTCCTGTGTTTCTTCTCCTGCCCTATCCTGCTTTATTTGTTCAATAAATCTGCCCTTTTTCTCCTTGGTAATTGCACTCTGAGCTAATCAGCTTAATACAAACAATGAGACGAGTGCAGGTACGGATCCTGGAAGTACGTCATTAGACCAGGCTCCGTATAAATGCAAAAGTCAGGCCAGCTGGTGTCCTCCCAGTGAGAAGAAGTGATGCTGATTATATTCACAATCGCTAACATTTAGTGCAGCCTGTCTGCTTCTGTGTCAGACACTTTGTATTCTACAGGTCATCTCAGATAATCTTTTTTTTTTTTTTTAAGTTTATTTGTTTATTTAGAGCAGGGGCAGACAGAAGGGAGAGAGGGAATCACTGTCCGCTCAGAGCTCGATGCAGGGCTCGAACCCACGAACCATGAGATCGTGACCTGAGCCAAAATCGAGAGTCAGATGCTTAACTGAGCCACCCAGGTGCCCCTCATCTCATTTCATCTTTACAGCAACCCAGATGAGTGGGCGTTGTGGACACTGATTGGGTTTGGGCAGCCTAGTGTTCATTCTTCTTTCTCGGTACAGCACCCCAGTTTCATTTGGGGGCATTCCTTCCCCTCCTTTGGATACAGTGGCAGAACTGTCAGTCCGGGTGCCAGCCCAGCCCTCCTTGGGCAAGAAGTGGGCACATGAGCCAAGCTAGGCCAGCCAGGCTCTCTGGAATTGGGAGAATGAACAGTATTTTCAAGAAAAAAACTTGGCACTCGCTCATTCCATAGCAGTGGGGCCCCAGCAGGACTGCTGAGTATCCTGTCCTGTGTGACCCTCTAGGGTACCTGGATCCCTGTTTATTTCTGAGCTTCATTCTCTAACCTGAGCTCCTGGTAACCTTTACACTCGGTTCTTTTTCCCCCCTTAGTTAGCCACAGTCAGTTTCTTTTTTATTTTTATTTTTATTTTTATTTTTTTCAACGTTTATTTATTTTGGGGGCAGAGAGAGACAGAACATGAACGGGGGAGGGGCAGAGAGAGAGGGAGACACAGAATCGGAAACAGGCTCCAGGCTCTGAGCCATCAGCCCAGAGCCCGACGCGGGGCTCGAACTCACGGACCGTGAGATCATGACCTGGCTGAAGTCGGACGCCCAACCGACTGTGCCACCCAGGCGCCCCAGCCACAGTCAGTTTCTATTGCTACAACTCAATAGTCCTGACTGATAGGTGGGTAGTCATGTCCCATTTCACAGATGGAGAAACTGATCCCGTGGCTTGCCCAGCCAGGTGTGGCAGGGTTGACTCTGAACCAGGTAGTCTGACTGAAGGCCAGAATTCCTGAACCCCAGGCTAGACTTCCTAGTTACTTGCCCGGGAGCTATGTTGAAAATTCTGGGGTTACTTGTCCAGGGAACAAAACTGCCCCTCAAAGGAAGCTGGTTCAGGGGCTGTCCCCACGCACCACATCACAGCAGCCACATGTACTGGGCTTCTGTGAGTCTTCGGCCCCCACAGTTCCTTCTCTGTCATCTTTCAACAAAGGAGGTCCATGGCGAGGCTTCTGGAAGAACTTCCATGAGGGTGTCAGAGGGCGACTTGACTCGGAGGGAGCGCTTGCTCACACTTCCAGGGTATTTGAAGTTTTGAATATGGACATGGGAGTCACTATTATGCCTTCTCTTCTTGTCAGATACTTAATTGTTCTGCTCCAGATACACGGAGCTTCTGATGCAATATGGCCCCAGGAGCAAACCCACTGACCGATACTGTCACCAGAAGGGAAGGCTGGCTTCTATTTTGCTATGACCCAGCCCCTGGCACCTGCTTGGGGCACCACCCCCTGGAGCTCTTCCTCATCAGACCAGATCCCTGTGGGGCCCCTCTGGGTGCAGGGAGCTGGGGTGGGGCTGGGTGGGAGGTTGAGAAGGGGGATGGGGAGGGGGCCCTGCCAGCTCTAGGCCGGCGTGCTCTCGGGGTGCCTCATTAGTTCTCTTCCGTCCTAGAGGAGGGGGGTTTCCATGTCACAGATGGTCACAAGGGATGGATCTCGGGCATTTGGCCTGAAATTCATTTTTCAGTGACACTTCCATGGGTCTGTATTGATAAGTGCATCTCTGCCCTACTGTTGCCTGGGAAACAGGATGCAAAGGAGATTCTGTCTCTTCGCTCCCAGCAGAGGCAGCAAACCCCCCCCCCCCCGCTGTGAGATCAGGTGCTACATCACAGCAGCTAGTGATAATCCAGCCCTTCATCATGCAGGAACTTTGCAGGGCCCTCTTTAAATGCTGTATGCACCTCACCTCCCAGGAGGTACAAATTGCCATCCCTGTCTTACAGAGGGGAAAACTAAGATCAGGAAGTGACTTGAGTCACTTGCCTAAGGTACTAGCCCCCTGCTCGCATGTAAACCCAGAGTGAAGGGTTGGCCTGATTCGGAACCCTGTGCCCATTATGTTGATGGAGCCCGTGGGGACAGCAGGACAGGTTGCCAGTGATAAAGTAGCAGCTTTCAGCCTCTTGTGTCTAAATTATATTTTCAACTCTACATGGTTTAAAAAAAAATTTTTTTTTTAATTGCTCTTATGATGTTGGATTTCCTCCTCACTGGGACAAAAACCAATAGCTCTCACTTCTGGTCAGGAGCCTCCACGTACTCATCTGATTATGTGAAGTCTTAATGAGCTCTATCTGCTTGCTGGCATTGGCTCTCCTGGGCCAGGACTGCGTCTGCAAAGAGAGCCGAGGGCCCCGGGTGCCAGATGAGAGGGTCTGCCTCTCTCCTTTCCCTGGATCCCCGCTGCCAACTCGGTGTGTTTTGGGAAAAATAGACCCGCGTGCCCCAAGCCACTGGCAGCAGTTCATGCTCTTGGTTCCCACAATACCCCGGGGACAAAAATCATCCCGTCTCTGACACAGTCTGGGCTAGAGGACGCTCCAGGATAGCACCCGGGAGCAGCCCGCCTCTGTGTGTGGGTCTGGCCTGGGGAAGCAGCTTTGGGCAGCCCGTGCTCTAGCTCAGGACACAAAACCTCCAAGGGTATGACGACATTGGGAGGGTCACACGCTCCTGCATGTGATTTCCATAAGTGAATATCGATTGCCAGGCAAATTTCAGACAGGTATTCATACTCTTTTTTCCCTTCTCTGAACTTAGAAGATAAGCAAGAATCTGAGGTGAGGAGGCCACCCAGGACGGAGAAGTGCACTGCAAACCTTGTCTTCTAGATCCCAGCGGACAGCTGGCCTCCGGGCCTGGAACGCCTCCCACAGAGCCTCTTTCTCTCCACTAACAGTATTCACATTTTTATTTTCAGTGTTACCAGAGGATCACTACAGTGGTAGTCACACCCCACCAAGGAGTTTCAGTTCAAGGTAGAGTGATAACGTTTTAGAGAAGGAATAGCAAAATGCGTGTAACATTATAAATCTGTGATTTATTGTCCCTCTTTAATAGGCTCCTTCCTACCCTCCCTTCCCCTTCAACGATGTCCCAGTTAGAAGGCTGAGTAAAGGACAGGACTGTTGCCAGCAGGTGACCTGAACTGAGGCAAGGGATAAACACACCCAAGGGAAACAGGTAGACAGACTGCTCAGTGGGAATCGCCTGGGGGTTTCAGTGGCCACGGTGGGTGAAGTCCCGTTTGAGCAGAGGGGACATGCCTGAGGAGGATACTGGTCAGGCTGGGCTTCGAGATTACCCAGAGAGGACTGAATCCCAGCAGCATCCACTGATGCATGCGGCTAACTGGGTACTCAGGGAGGGTCCTGGCGCTCAGGAAAGCCCACACCGAGTGCTTTCGTGTGTGCCCGCTCTGACCCAGAGCCACCTGTCTGTTTTGCCATTGGACCTCAAATCCTCACTGTTTTCTGAGAGCACTTAGCAGGTGAAACAAGATGATGTTCTTGCCAAGAAGCTGCGACCCTGTCTTTGCTTTGCATCTGTTACTTTTGAAGTTGGAAATTCAGAGCAGAATGGGTCTCACTCTGTCGAGGTGATCAGAAGGAAAAGGCCAGCCTCTATGGCAGCGGAGGGCAAGTTCCAAGGTCCAAAGGGTCATGGGCTGGTGAGGACCACTTCTGCTCCTAGCTTATCTTCAAAATTCAGACACCAGAGAGAACCCATATTGGTAGTTTTTGTCCCTGGGGTTCTAGTGTCTAGCCCTAAATCACCCTTCTTGCCCAGCGTGTCCACAGAAAACTTTATTCTTTGATCCCCTCCAAGGTTGGAAGCCCACACAAAAGACAGAGCTGTTGCTGGGAATGGTAATTCAAATCAGTGGCAGCGGTTTCACAAAAATGAAGCAAACCCTTGAGACCGAACAGACGTCTCACAGGAATCTCTGTACCAAGAATAAAAGGCCGTCCAATGTGTTTGGACTACCGAGCAAACCTTCTATGATTCACACCTGTTTGAGTTGAAGCTGACGAGTTCTTTTTTCTTTCAAAAGAAAGTGCTCCTCACAAGTCAACACCAAAAACCCACAAATAATCCAATTAAAAATGGACAGAAGAGGGGCGCCTGGGTGGCGCAGTCGGTTAAGCGTCCGACTTCAGCCAGGTCACGATCTCGCGGTCCGTGAGTTCGAGCCCCGCATCGGGCTCTGGGCTGATGGCTCAGAGCCTGGAGCCTGTTTCCGATTCTGTGTCTTCCTCTCTCTCTGCCCCTCCCCCGTTCATGCTCTGTCTCTCTCTGTCCCAAAAATAAATAAACATTGAAAAAAAAAATTAAAAAAAAAAAAATGGACAGAAGACATGAACGGATATCTTTCCCAAGAAGACATCCAGGTGGCCAAGAGACACATTAAAAGATGCTCAACACCACGGGAAATGCAAATCCAAATCACAATGTGATATCACCTCGCACCTCTCAGAATGGCTAAAATCAACAACACAAGAAACAACAGGTGTTGGCAAGGATGCGGAGAAAGGGGAATCCTCTTGCACTGTTGGTGGGAATGCACACTGGTGCAGTCGCTGTGGAAAACAGTATGGAGGTTCCTCAAAAAATTAAAAATAGAACTACCCTATGATCCAGTAATCACACAACTGGGTATTTACCCAAAGAATACAGAAACACTAATCCAAAGGGATACATGGCCCCCTATGTTTTATAGCAGCAGTATTTACAATAGCCAAACTATGGAAGCAGCCCAAGTGTCCATTGACTGATGAATGGATATAGAAGATGTGGTGTATATATACAATGGGATATTATTCAGCCATAAAAAGAATGAAATCTTGCCATTTGCAATGGACAGAGCTAGAGAGTATAATGCTCAGAGAAATCAGTCAGAGAAAGACAAATACCATATAAGTTCACTCATATGTGAAATTTAAGAACAAAACAAAGGAAAAAGACAGATAGAGAGACAAACCAAGAAACAGACTCTTAACTATAGAGAACAAACTGATGGTTACCAGAGAGGAGGTGGGTGGGTGGGGGGATGAGTGTAATAGGTGATGGGGATTAAAGAGTACACTTATCAAGGGGCATCTGGTTGGCTCAGTTGGCAGAGCACGTGACTCTCCATCTTGAGGTCATGAGTTTAAGCCCCATGTTAGGCATGGAGCCTAATTAAAAAAGAAAAGAGTTCACATCATGATGAGCACTGTGTAATGTATGGAATTGCTGAATCACTATATTGTGCACCTGAAATTAATGTAACACTGTATGAGAATATCCTGGAATTAAAACGAGAAAAAAACACAAACAAAAAAATAAAGAAAAGCAAGTGCTCCTCTCTAAGGGCTCAGGTATGGTACTTCAGCCCCATCCTGTGCTGAAACTCAGACCAGCCTTCCCACAGAGCTGTTTGATCACACATGTCAGAAGTCTTCAGAAGGGGCACAGCACCAACGTGGCAGTTCCACTCCTAGGAGTGGGCATGAGGGAATAAACAGGAGTCAACAAAAGATGTGACAATAGAGGGTTCACTTCAACACTGATTGTAAAAGCAAAATGTTGGGAACAACCTATAAGGAGATCAACTGGAGGCTGGTCAGGTAAATCCAAGTACGAGCTGCAGTGAAATTCCAAAATGATGCTGGAGGAACCTATTTCTTGACAAAGATGTTCACTATATGCTCTTAAATGGGAATAAAAAGCAGGCTACAAAGCAATATATAGAGTATGATCCCATTTTTGTAAAAAAAAAATATATATATATGTGTGTGTGTGTGTGTGTGTGTGTGTGTGTGTGTATGCATACAAAAAGTCTAGAAGGACATCCACCAAGGAACTAGAAGGGACTAGATGATTGGTATATTCTTATTTTCTCCCTTAAAAAAAAAAGGTTTAATTTATTTATTTGTTTAAGTAATCTCTATACCCAACATGGGTCTTGAACTCACAACCCTGAGATCAAGAGTCATAGGCTCTTCCAACTGAGCCATCTGGGCACCCCTTTCTCTTTTTTTATTTGAAAAGTATACTTTTTCTACCATGAGATACATTATTTGTGTAATTGTTTTTAGTTTTAAAAAAGAGAAAAAATTAAAAAAAAAAAAAGAATCCCTTACAACCTTTTCTAATTGCTTGTGAGTTTCAGGCTCTAGAATCCCCACTGCAATAACCGACCACCAGGGGGCTCTGGCACTCCAACCTTGCTCCCAAGTGCCCTGCGGAGGTGAAGCTGGGCCACAGTGAGAGTGGGCATACTCCCCAGCCTGTGAGGAGCCCACAGTCACTACCTCATTTCCAGAACGTCTGGGCCAGATGCCAGTTCAGATCTAAAAACACTGTTCCAGGGGTGCCTGGGTGGCTCAGTCGGTTAAGCGTCCGACTTCGGCTCCGGTCATGATCTCAGGGTTGAGCCCGCGTCAAGCTCTGTGCTGCTGACAGCTAGGAACCTGGAGCCCACTTAAGATTCTGTGTCTCCCTCTCACTCTCTCTGCCCCTCCCCTGCTCACACTCTGTCTGTCTCTCTCTCTCTCTTAAAAATAAACATTAAAAAAAAATTTTTTTAAACACTGTTAGGCCTGGCAGCCAGGCCTGCCCAGAGGGGGCTGAACCGCTGGAGGA